ATAGGACAACATCCCCACTCAAGATTTTGTAATAAACAATATTTTAGAATCAATGTCGTACGTTTTATAACTTAAACTTGCTCTATGACCTATGGTTTGTTGTTTTGAGATTTGATGTATGGTTATGCCTTAGAGTTTAGACTTAGGTTTTTCACCCAAAAAATATAAGTTCATGGCTTCTTGAGTGGGCTAGTGGAATGTGGATGAATATGATTTTGAACTTTTGCATGTTCGATCTATCTCAAAAATGACACAAGATTACTCACGATTTCTCTCTGCTTCAGCTCTCCGTCCGATCTTCCCTTTCTCATCCCCCGAGTTTTCCCTTCTTCCTTTTGGGCTTTCGATCTAACCTAACAGCCACAATATCTTATTCGATCGACAAACAAACCCACCATCGGTGAACCCCTGATGATGATTTATTAAGAACAATATCAGCTCACCTTTGTGTGATGAACTCGGCGGCTCGGCTGCTTCCTTTTCACCAGCAATCTCAAAGCTTCTCTTCTCTCGACTACTATAATTTGATGCCTTTTTCTTTTCCTTGCCTAAACCTAAAGGGGATGAGATACGGTGACAACCCCATTAGGAGTTGTGAGATTGACAACCCATTTTATAACCATAGGATTCATTTTCTCTCTTGTCTCTTTCTTCTTTTTTTTCAAATCAATGGTACAGATTGGATTAAGGGTATTTTTGTACGAAAAAAATTGACCACACTAGATTATTATCCCTATTAATACCTAAAACCCTACATTCTCTCTTTCCCCTCTCTCTCACGCCATCTTTCTTCTTCCTATTCATCTTCTTCTTCCTCCCATCTCTTCCCTCTCTCTCTATCGGCTGCCACCACCGTCGTCGCAGCCGCCCTGCCGACCCGCCACGCCCTCCGCCTCTCATTACTGTTGCAGCCCTCTCGTCGTCGCACCCACTACCTCCCGGCAATGTCACGTCCCTCGCCCCGCAGCTATCGCGGCCTCCTCCTCCCACCACCGCCGCGCCATCACCCTCTCCCCGTCGCAACTCTCCCGCCGCCCTCTGTCTCCCACCACCATCACCGTCGCCACGAGGTCACCGCCTCTCCCTTTCGTCATCCCTGATTTTTTTTTTCCAGATCTGTGATTTTTCATATTTCAGATCTGATTTTTTTTTTTTTGTACTAGTCTCTAGTGGTACGCTACCAGTGGCAATGGTACCGCTATAGGTGGTACAGGTACTACTAATAGTACCTCTAGAAGTGGTAATGGTAGCATACCACTAGCACTGGTAGCTACCACTAGTACTGGTAGCGTACCACTAGCACTGATACATTTTTTAAGCACTAGTAGCGTTCCACTAGCACTAGTATATTAATTACTAGTAGACTAATGGATTGGTACACTTTTTAACGCACTGGTACATTTTTTCAGGTTGCTGGAGGGAGTCTGCCGGAGAGACTTCGCCGGAGAAAAAGTTTGTCCAACGAAGCGGAGTGGCCACAGGAGAAAGGAAGAGAGAGAGATAGATATATAGAGATATTGATGTATAGGATTTAAATTTAAAAAAATTGTATTTAATATGGGTTTTTAATTCCCAATCTGATTAATACAAAAAAGTCATTAATATATTCCTTTTTTCATACCCAAAATACCCTTGGTTGTCAATCTGACAACCCCTTAGAGGTTGTCACCATATCCCGTCCCGAATGATTTGCTATTTACCGCTGAGGAAATGGGAAGTGTTTGGGTAGACATTCATTCTGTTGGGCTCTCGATTTAGGCCAGAATATTGCTTTTTTGAACAGAAGCTGAAATATTGAAAAGTTATAAAAAAATGGATACGTAGAATTCTTTTGTATTTTCCCGTCATCCTCCACCTTCACCAATACCTTTTTTTATTAATAATAAAAAAAAACGTCTACTATTGCTCTAAACATGGATAGATATTAGCAGAAAATATAAACAACAATAAATATAAACTCAATCAAACTGTAGAGATTCAAAATACAAACCAGTTGTGTTTTCTTTAGTATAAGCTAGGTATGCTTATTTGAAATGAATTATAGTAAAAACAACCACTTCGTAATTTATAAAGTTCTTACTTCTAGATAACAAGATTTTAATTTTTTTGGCAACAAATTATTTGAATTTAAGCCATTCACTATTAAGATTTATTTTCATAATTTTCATTTTGAAACAAAATCTTATTCTTGGGATTAAAATTATACTATCGAGTTCATTATTTAAAACTCTCTCAGACATTCTTTACCAATAATATTATCTATATAAAATAAACAAAACGCAAGAATCAAAATGACATCAAAGAGCATTCAATTTAGCGGAATTTTTTTTTTGTTGGTAAGGAAACGAGCGACAGGGCGCCCAAAAAACTAAGGGGGAATGAGTCTGGGAGTTTGACTCCCTACAAGATAGAAGAGTAGCCAATGCCGCAACCGGTGGTCGGGTACCAGAATCGGATGAGTCCTGACCTATAACTCATGCTCTGTCGAAGCCAAGAAGTCTGCCACCACGTTGCCTTCTCTATAAATGTGCTCGATCCGCACCTCCCAGTTGCATTGCATCATTCCCCTCACCTGCAACACAATATGGTAATGTGGGTGGGTATTCGTTGCTGTCTCGATGATCTGAATCGCCGCTTGAGAGTCCGTCTAGAGTATGATCTTCCTCACTCCCAGCTCCCAAGCGCACCGCAGCCCCTGGAGGATGCCCATTAGCTCGGCGCGGGTGATCGACCCACCGCCCAAGTTCATCACGAAGGCTCCCAGGAAGTGGCCTTTATCATCGCGCACAATCCCTCCAGCCGTCGAACTATGAGACGCCAATGCCACCGACCCGTCTGTATTAACACAGCTCCACCCATGCTGGGGACAATTCCAACCGATCCAATCCAGCCGTCACTTGGAGATGGGTTGGCGCGGCCAGTTTCTTCTCGAACACATAGGAGTTCCTGTTCTTCCATAGAATCCAACATACAACAGCAAAAAGGGATGGATCCAAACTTGCACTCCTCCCCGAAAGATAATGCATCAACCAGCTCGTCTCATTCGGAGTGAAAAACTTCTCATCTGGCTCATCAGCAAGGAAAGCGACCATACCTCTCTCGCGTATGGGCACTCTCGCAGGGCGTGTATCACTGACTCATCATTACCGCCACAAATCTGGCAGGTTCCCACATTGGTCAAGTGGCGCCTTTGTCTCTCAGCATTTGTCAAGAGTCTACCATGACCAACCAACCAGAAGAATGATCGGATACGCTGCATAGCTGGAATTCTCCAAATCTTCTTCCAAACTGGGTGGACGTGAATGGGATGGCTTGCCTCGTCGAGGCTCTCGTAAGCAGTTTTCAGAGAAAACTCTCCGTTCGCTGTATAGCGCCACAAGGGCACATCACACTCCGTTCCTTGGGGTATTCCATGCATTAGGACCTGATCAACTATGCTAACCGGGAGGAAAGCACGTAAATAATCAATATTCCACTCTCCGTTTAATACCATCTCCGCCACTGACAAGGTAGAGGCTTCGTGAGGTAGCCCCACGAAATCTTTAGTCAACAGTTGAATGTTTTACTCTCTGTTTGAGAAGAGGGGTAAATGGTAGGAGGATGCAAATGTGAGGGTAAACACAGTTTTCAACACATTTGCACCTGTTTGGATAATTTTGATCAGTAGGGGGTGCAAACTGTAGGTGCAAAATTACTATTTCGGCTTACCCCCCAAATTGAGGTGCAAGGGAAGGAAGGAAGAGAGGAGGGAGTGGGGAAATTATGAATTTTTATTTATATAATAATTAATATTATCAATTTATGGAAATTATAGTAATTATATAATAATTATAGTTATCATTAATATAGACATTGTTCGGAGTTGACCGTTTGACTCAGAGAGCAAGTTTATCAATGTTAGGCTAGTCAAATAGAGATCTCTTGGTTGACTCGAATTCGCATTGAAAATTAGAGATAAGAAGTGTTTGTAGAACTTCTTTGACTAAGTTTGACCATATTCAATTTAAAGATATATTAGACAACAGAACTTTATAGCATGACCAGTTACGAGTTGGGCTTCGAGTTCGCTCGACCAATAATTATTACAGTTGTTATAATTAATTATTATTTGAGCATTATTATATAATAATTTTTTTATTAAATTATATTAATTATATAATTATTTTTATTTTATTCTTTTGTGATAATATTTTATAAATTTGATAAATCTATTTTATAATAATATAATATTACTTTTAACTCTATTTTTACCCCGCTACTTTTTCATTTAAACAATAATTTATCCCTCCACTTACACCCCCACCAATTTGCACCCTCCTGCAATTTGCCCCTTAACTTGCACCCCTTATTACCAAACATAAAGACAAAAATTGTGCAATAAAAAAGTAAGACTTGTATTGAGTAAGAGAAATGTCAACCAAAATTTAGAAGAAATTCAAAAGGATGAGTAATTTTACCAAAATAATTTGTAACTTAAAATTAATTGAAGGATGATATTAAATATTTAATATATATAAACCACAAAAAAAAAATCCCGGCGGGCAACAGCTAGTAATATAGTGAAGGTGTGTCGGTTACGATTATCGTAAGTGTGTCAAATGTCTCGTATTCGAATATTTTATACCGGAAATTTTTGGATCTCACAAAAAGATTTTATAAGTTGGTATCGCCTATTTTAACGTTATTTTCCTTTGACTTTGTAGCATGCTTCCATTAGTATTGTTTTGGTAAGTTTCGTAGGATGAGAAAGTTCTTTTTATTTCAAAATTTTCTCTTCCTTGGAAAGAAAAAGGAAAAGAAAAACGTATAGCGTCGGTTCAGCAGTCAAGAAGCCGAATGAAGGAGCAGCAGTCCTTTACGACACCGCATACTATATACTTCTTCTAGCTGCTTGCCTTGCGACAACACAAGGTACCAAATTTTGTTATCAAGTTAAAACCTTTACACTACTAATTAATTAAGACCTCTAATATATAAATAAATGACTGATCATTCAAGCTGCATATATGTTCCGGCCAAAATCATATTCGAGTGCCTTGCTAATCAAATGGCTTCTATTGTTGGTTGTAAAGGTACAGCAGCAGCAGCAGCAGCTTACAGCAGTTTCCAGGCGATTATGATCTCTACTATTCAGCTGTTTTTATGGCTGTTACTGCTAGCTGAAGGAAGAGTAGTCGACAGTGATAGCACCATTGCTGATCCCACAAAAGGGTTCGTCGCTCTTCCACTGACTTCATCGCATATGAAGGTTCAGTGGCCGTATGACCTGCGAAAGGAGGAGCGTTACAGCTTTGCCAATGGCGTCCACACGCTCAGGGTTTACTCCAACGACAAGCCATTCAAACAACACAGCCCCACCAAGCCTCGCACTGAAGTCCATATAACCGTAAGCATATATAGCCAAATTAGCATGCAATCATCATCAACATTAATGCACTTACGTACGTAAAACAAAAACAACATTACTTTTGATCCAACTTTGTGATTGACTTGACAGGGATACGATTATTCGTCTGGAGTGTGGCAGTTCGAAGGGCATGGTTTCGTTCCGAGCGGGACATCTGGTGTGTGCATAATGCAGGTGTTCGGTGCGAGCGAGCACGCTTCGACTCTGATGGTTCGAGTTTACGGCGGCAACCTGGCCATCTACAGGTCCAAAGTCCTTCCCGACATCTACGACAGATGGTTCAGGTTGAACGTGATTCACAATGTGGATGATGGTGAGGTCATGGTCTACGTTGACACATCACTTGTGTATAAAGGACCCGGTCACGGCGGCAAGTCTCACTACTTCAAGTTTGGCGTCTATGCTCAGAATGATGATTCTCGTCTCATGGAATCTCGTTGGAAAGGAATCAAGATTTTAAGAAAGAAGTAATAGATTTTTACTTGGTCGATACTAATTTAATTACCTTTGTTTTCTATCTTATTTAAATTTTGAAGATGCATGTAATATCGAGCTTTCGATACAACTCACACAATTTTGGGTTACTAATTAATACCAACAGTTAAATTTTTGTTTTGCGAACTTGTCACCAAAGTTTGGAACACCATTGGCTTTTTTTTTATATATAAGAGTGATGTAGATTTGTATTTATAGTTAGATACCACTACAAGAAAACACACATGCAGTCATGATTTTTTTCATGGCTAAAACTAACTATTTTGTAGCTATATCATATAGCTATAAATAATTCGCCTTGTAGCTTGTATGGCTAAAAGTGCCGAAGCTAAAGGTTAGCTACGTATTTTGTCACTTACATAGCTAAAACTAATTGTTTTAACTATGAACTACATATAACATAGCTAAAAAGGCGATATGTTCTTGCTACAAAAGTTATTATAAGTAGCAGAACCATCAATATATTTAGCTATAAAGACTATAATTCATGGCTTTATCTAATAATTTGCTACAAATAGTTTCATTTGGGATTTGTCAAAATATATTTCTTGCCATAAAGTACGAGATATATATAGCTTCAGACAAGATTTCTCGTGGCTCTTTTAGTTGTTGATTTGCTACAAATATTCTTGTAACTAGAAAATTCTATTTCTTACTACGAAAAAAACTGTGGCTAAAGATATAGGCTATAGCTTTAAATACTTTTTTATGGCTAGAATATTTATTCTTTTGTTACGAATCATTTTGTAACCATAATATCAAAGTTCTGGCTACTAATATAAAGCATCATGGCAAAAGGTTTAAATAGCTTCGGAGAGACGTGTTGTGGCTAAAAGTGAACACATTATTTGCCACAAATAATTCTATAGCTATATCGCTTGTTCTCTTGCTTCATGTATTAACAATCGTGGCTCAATCGTTTATAATTTTGCCACAAATAATTTTGTGACTAGATACTTTAAATTTTCGCTACAAAATATGATTGTGGCTACATATTTTTCATCTAGCTATGGGAGAACTTTATGTCTAAATTGCTTTGTAACTGTAGCTAATTTTACATTACGCTTTTGTAAAAAATTATTTCGCTAAAAATTTGGTTGTTGGCTTCGGTATGATAAATCGTGGCTATAATATGCAAATCACAATTGTCGCTCAAATACTCATTTTATTCTTCTTTTTTTTTTGTGGATCCACAAATTATTTTGATAATATATAGCGTATTAAATAATGCTTCCAAATTTAACATAATAAATAATCTATAAATAATATTATTAAATATCCAACAAAGATTCTCAAAAAGAAAAAAATCCAACAAAGATGGCCTCCAAAATAGAATGACAATCCTTAACAGAGTTCTACTAAAATAAAAGTAATTGTCTTCATAAAGAAAAAATAAGTTCTTCAAATCTTGCAGATAATTATGTATTTTCCATAACCTGCAAAAAAGAGAAAATGTATTAAACTCTTCAATTGGAAAGACGAGATTCGAGTAGCATACGAGAACAAGATCATATTAACATATATATACAACTACACAGTTAACACCAACGTTAAAAAAAAAACTCATAGCTAATATCAAATTGGTGACTTACTTCTTCATCGGATATGTTTCGTGAAAGTGGAGGTTCCCTTCCAGCAAGTAACATCTGAAACTTTTCTTCCCATTTTCGGTTCATCTCAGCCATTTGTTTTTCAACATCTTTGGTAATTTGATGTACTCGTTCATTAGCTTCCTTCTTGGCTTCTTCAACCTGTTCCTTGGCTTCCCTTCTAGCAGCTTCCACTTGCTTTGTAAGTTCAGCTTTTGTTGGCTTAATCCCAAAATATTCAGTGACACCTTTCCCAGGTCCATAAGCACGCACATAACCATTCTTCTCGGGTCCAAGAACCTTTTCAAACATTTCTTCATCATTAATAGAAATATGCCCTTCAACACGTTGTTTTTTTAACTGATCAAGTTGAGACTGCAATGAGAACAAAAATTTATGAGATTAAAATAATAATTTAAATCTAAACGAAATGAGTATGTTTCAAGCTTGATGTGTTTATGGAGTTCACTTACAAGGGCAATCTGTGAATCAGAATCTAGAGCTTTTCCTTTTTTTCTCTTGCGCGATTCAATCCAAACATCCACACGAGAAGGTGTAGCCCCATTTCTCTTTTTCTAAAATAGAAATTCTTTTTAGTTTTTATTTTAGTAAGTTATATAATAAATTAATTTGTCTGAGAAAACATATATAATACCATTTGATATCGAAGTCGTGCAAGACTTTTCGTTCCAGTGTAAGGTGGCATTGAACGCTTCGATCTGTTCCTTTTGTTTATTAAGCTCCTTTCCTACATCAATTACAAATGGTATGATGGAAAAGTACGTGAAAACAATAATATAACATGTATTATATAAATTATTCTAGTGAATAAGAATATGTGATGGAACCTGAAATGGTTGATCACTCCATAAATTAACAAGATACTTCCAATCACTGATGGAGACTCTTTTAGGCTTATTTTTCAGACGACTTTCATAATTATTCTTCTTGTTGAAGTAATTCCTCTTCAATTTATGCCTATAATCCCTGTACAGAGCATTCATGTGACCAATGATTGATTCCATCCTACCCATTGGGAGTTCAAACGTGAACTTCTCCTACGAGAAGCAATAAATGAAAAGAATTGTAGTAAGAAAACAAGTATATAAAATTGATATTCAGATGCTAAATAATTCCAAAAGAAAATGAATGAAAAATGTGATTGCTTACCATTATGATTCCCCACATATGATCTATTGCATCTCTACTGATATCCTTCCATTCCTTCACTTGCAAAGGACAACAAGAACGATTTCGAACAGTTACTCCCAAAAATGCTACAAAACTTGTTGCATTTTCACCAACCGGTTGATGATCCTCATCGAATTCTACAGATAATTTATTTCCTTCCTCTAATCCGATAATTCTTATACAACGGGTTGGACCCCTTGTTTTCTTCTTTTGTTTTTGTGGACCTATTTGTAAATTATTGGGGAAAAAATGAGATATTGCATTGTGTTAATTTATCGTTAGCAATACTTAGGTGGTAAAAGTAAGAAAATTGCGATTATAATGTATTAAATAAGAAATAAAAGTATACAAACCTGTGTCATTATGCTCCGAACCAATATTTGTTTCCCCCCCATCTTCTGATGAATCATCATCCATATGAACTTCTCCATCAAGATGTGCATTTGGCAGAACATCATGTTTGCTTGACAAGGTGTATATTTCAAAAGTAGAAATTCTACATTTCTTATATGAGGAAAGCATGGATAGAACACCATCATCATCCTCCAATTGTACCAGCCCGTTCAAATCACTAATGGGAGTTTTGGGTTTAAGATAGTAGAACTTATCTCCATTAAGGACACTAAACCCACACATCTTAAGGTCATCTAAGATAGTAAAATATGAAAGGAAGTCCACCTCATGGTCATCTTTTACCATTATATTTCCAGCTGTGTACTTTCTACGAGGTGAAAAAGTGAAATGGCCTCCATAATGATATCGGATCGATAATTTTTGCTCATCCACATTTTCTACAACAAATAATTATAAGGTAAACAAATATTAGAAACTTTTATTAATACATTATATTACTCTATACACATTATATACATTTTACAGTAAAGGTAAATCAACTTAAAATGTAATTTTAGCCAATTAAAGAGTTGAAAAGAGAAGGCACATACCTTGCACATCACTAGTTGCTCTCGCCGGAGAAGTTTGGACAGAAGGATCTACTGAACTTGTAAGACCCTTGTCACCCAAACGAGATTGATCAACAACATTTTCTTGTTCAGGCTCTCTTTCAAACAGGTTGCCTTTGTCTTTTTGTTTCACATTCTTTTTTCCTTTTCTAAAACCTCCACGTCTTGGCATGATTGATGATCCACCTGAGTCAGTGTAATGATATTTGAGAATAAGCTACTACATAAGAAGCCATGATTCTAATTCTGGAATGAATATAAATAGTGATACGCAAGTAAACATATATAAACACAAAAGAGTTCAGGAACAGCACAAGCCCCAATATTTTGCTATCTAAGCGTAGGCTAAACAACAAAGGAGGAAAAAATAGACCCCATACCCCATGAAATTGAACGAGTGACCTAAGTCATGGTGAAAATACAATAGAAAAGTAACTCTGCAGTAGACGAGAGAAAAGCTTGAAATAATTTGCCTATTAATTACCTCGTCAAAGTAGCTTTCCAGTAATCGCAATGCTCGTTGATGCAGCCTATGGTGACTTGTAGCTAGGTCTAAGGAAACTTTTACGAAGAAAAGGAACATTGGAATTTATAGGAGAAATCACTCTACACTATTCGGCGGCTGAAATAAACTTTGAATTTCCCTTCCCGCTAGAAAAGTGCGCCCAATTTTCCTTCCCGCTATGAGGTTCCGCTCAATATTTAGGTTTCAGATTTGGATGGTGGAAACCATTCGTGTAGGCGATACCCTTTAGCAGATGGAGAAAAAAGTTCCCAAAATAAGGTGGGATTCGTAACCGATCTAGCTACTTACCTATAGCAAGGATAAATATTACTTTATTATCAAACCCTTTTTCCTTTTCAAAATTAACCATTTGTGGTAATATCCCGGTTACAGTGGCCAATTCCTCTAATCACACCCGATGATGAATCGAAAACTTAATTTTTCAACGCTAAATCGAAAACTTAATTTTTCTACTAGTCCAATCACTAATCCGGTTCAGTTCTTAATTATAACAATGGCCAATTCTATACTATCAAAATATCCATAAACGCTAGCTACATGTGGTTGGCAGCCATACTCATATGTAGCTTGAATCACGAATACTTTCAAGTATAATAGAACTCATAGACATCATTCATCTCTTACGCATAATTAGATATGGCAAATGGATTGATCCATGGATTGGTGGATTGGATTGATGGATCCATGGATTGGTGTGATAGATTGGACTGATGGATCCAAAATGTAAAATATTAAAAGTGTAGGTACCAAACCGTAATTTATCATTTGGATCCATGGATCAATCCATGAATCCACTTAGGGATGGCAACAAAACCCGAACCCACGGGTACCCACCCGACCCAA